CTCTCAAAGGGGGGGGGGGGGGGGGGGGGCTAATGTTGGTGGTCCTAAGCATCTAAAGGGACTAGTTCAGGCTGACAATTTAGAAACAAAAGAAGATGGGAATAGAAAGAAACCAAATCATTTTTTAGGCAGCGGCCGATCAAACAAGATAAAAGGGAGGATATCATTATAGGTACACTCAATGTACAAAATGTGAAGTCAAACGCTCTCTATATCAAAAACTTGTAAAGGGATGTACAGGTGTTATGCATTCAAGAACACTGGCTCTTCAATGCGGAAAAGAAAATCATAGCTGAAATTACTGAAAATAGCGGATACATAGCTAAAAGCGTTGATGATAATGACGACCCAGATTTCAAGGTATCAATGAAAAGGGGATATGGTGGAGTAGCCATAATCTGGAAAAAAGAAATTAATGAAAATATAAAGGAACTGATAGACGGTGGAAATAGAACACAAGCGATACATATTCAACAAGGAGACAAACCAATATGTCTTATACATGTATATATGCCATCAGATAACAAAAATGCAGATATCGAATACAAAGACACTTTGGCTCAAATTGATGAAATGATAGAGAAATATAAAGATACACACGAAATTATAGTATGTGGAGACATGAACGGGTCACTCCATAGAAGCTCTACACCTCATGATAAAATTCTACAGACTTTCTGCAAGGAAAAATGTATAGGAAATACTGAGAAATGGCCATTAAAAGAAACATTTTATCACCAGAATGGTAAATCGAAAGGACAAATTGATTACTTCCTCTTCAAAAGTAACTCGGAAAAAATAAATAAAATCAGACAAATCGATGTCCTTGATACTGACCCAGAGAATATCTCGGACCATGTACCTGTTATTCTGACACTGAATAGCCAACTGAAAAAAGTAAGGGAAAAAGCAACAACTATCATAGCAAAACCTAAATGGACTGACTGTGACCATCAAATTTATAAGGAAATCATCAATAAAGATCTACCAAACCTCATGCAAAAATCAAAAGGAATCATTGAGCAAGATATAAGAAATCTAGAAAAATTGCTACATAAAGCTGGAGAAGCAGCAATCCCAAAGTATAGAAGAAAAATCAAAATCAAATCAAAGGAAAGGCGATATGGAATGAACAAATAGAAAAGGCATCAAAGCAATCAAAAAATGCATATAAAGTATGGAGGCAACAGGGAGCACCTCAAGAAAGAAGTAACGAGCTCAAAATCAAAATGACAGCTGCAAAAAGAATACTTCGAAAAGCACAAAGACAAGCTTATGCCTCTCTGAGAGAATCAACAGCGGGAAAAATTATGAAAGCTTCAAATGCAGACACAAGTCTTTTCTACAAGCTTATCAACATGCAAAGAAAAACACCACTTACTAACACCAAGATACTGAAACTGAATGAAAAGACTGCAGAAGATGGACCAAGCATAATGAACATTTGGCAAGAACATTTCCAACAACTAGCTACGCCAACATTAGAGGAAAATTTTGACACTGAAAAGCTAGAGCTTGTAGAAATACAAAACAATATAATAGAATCCATAGAAAGGGAAAAAGGTCAAGGCATTGATCATGTCAATGTAAAGGAGGTTAATAAAGCTATAGAAAAACTTAAAGCTGGAAAAGCACCGGATGAGGATGGAATTTCGGCAGAACACTACAAATATGGGATGAATGAGTTAACTCCCTTTATAGTACATTGGCTAAATTTAATTTTAACATATCTGGATGTACCAATCTTCCTAAAGACAGGGATTCTTACACCAATCCTAAAGAAAGAAAAAGACAAAACATTACCATCTAGCTATAGAGGAATAACTGTGACTAAAACCTTTGCAAAAATATTACAAAGTATACTGAAGGATAGAGTTGACTCTGTATTTAATAACATAAAAAACTCCTTGCAAAGAGGTTTTACAGAAGGAGTGTCATCACTATGCGCAGCTTTCCTCACACCAGAAGCAATCGAAGAAAGTAAGAAATTAAAGATACTGATGATTTTAATAACTCTTGATGCAGAAAAAGCATTTGACAAACTAAACCATGAAATACTATTCAACAAGCTGTACCATTATGGAATAAAAGGAAAACTCTGGATACTACTGAGAAACTTGTATAAAGGCATGAGCATTAAGGTTAAATGGGAAGGTCAATGTACAGAAGATGTAATGGTGTTACAAGGAATTCAACAAGGTGAAAAACTATCTACAACGCCATATAAATGATACAACAACGTCATACTGGATAGCATTTTAAAAAGTGGACTTGGAGCATGTATTGGTGATATACAAGTCCCTGCACCCACATGTGCCGATGACATTGCTGTCCTGGCAAATAGTACTGCAGACGCACAAGGAATATTAGACATAGTACAGCACCATACAGGTGGAGATCTAGTTAAAATCAATCCAACTAAATCTGAAGCTGTTTTATATAATGAAAAAGGCTCAAACATATCAACACTGCAATTCGAAGACGATGACATCAATATTACCAATGAAACCAAACATCTAGGTATCAAAAGAAACGAGCAAAACCGGGCAAAAGAAAGAATAAGAACCGGCAGGGCAACAATATACAGCCTTCTCGGAGCTGGTTTACATGTCAGAAGGGAATTCTCACTCATGGTCGCATACAAGCTATGGAGAACATATGCAGTACCAAGAAGCATCTACGGACTTGAGGTGATGAACTTACTTGCAAAAGAAAAGGATATGCTAGAACTGGCAGAGAGAAAAATCCTCCAACAAATTCAAGGGCTTCCAAATAATTCAGCAAATATGGCTGTCTATACCCTGGTAGGAGCAGAACCTATTGCCATTACATTAGACAAAAATCTACTTACCTTCTTCATGAATATTGTTCGAAATTCAGGAACCATAGAATGTGAAATTCTGCGCCGACAAATAGCATTTTCTGACCAAAGAGGAAAAGACTTTATCAACAGAGTGGAAAAAACTCTATCAAAATACAATTTGAAATCTAGTAGTTAATAGATACATAAATCACTTAAGGAAATCGAATGGAAAAGACTAGTAGGAATAAAGATCAAGGAATACTGGAAAAATGAATGTCATTATGAAAAAATGGAAAAAACATCACTTAAATACATAGAGACACAGAACAATCCATTAAATGAAGCTCACAATATATGGAAAAGCATAAAAAACAATAGTAAAGATGTAAAGGCAGGAGAAATAAAAGCAAGAATAAGTACTCAAACGTACATATTCCAAGCCTAAAGAGCTAAGGTCGATCCGAAAGTTAACCCGATATATACAATCTGTGAACAGGAAAATGAAGATCTAAAACATTTTATTCTACGCTGCAAAGAATTGGAGCAAATAAGATCTAAATATTGCTCAAAAATCGAACAGACAATGGATGAAATTGATACTTCAACATACAAGAAGATCATACAACAAGGGAATTTACTGCAGCTCATAATGGACTGTACTAGCAAGGACATAAACTGTTACTCAACTGTGTATGAAAACATTGAAACTCTGGCTATAAATATGTGCTATGAGATGCACATGCTGCGCACAAAAAAGGATAAAAAACTTGAACACAAGTACAGTATAAGTAAACTTTTTTCTAAAATAAAATAGTTTCCTACTTTACAATCTTATTATTTTATGACTTATTAGGACTTAAATTAATTTTTTGCAAAGTTTTAAGATATCAAGTACCTTTAAAGAATAATGACAAGATCCCAAATAAGGTAATTTTAAACTGTGAAGGAAAACTTGTGTATATATGTTGAATTGTTCAAAACCCAAACCCCTTTACATAAGTCTTATAAAATAACCTTTTCATTATAAATTCTGATGTACGTATAGCACCTTTAACTAACAATTATGGGAAAGTTTAATTTAAGACCACTTAAATTCTAAATTCTTATTTGTAAATATATCCAGTTCTTACTTAAATTGTTCCTACACCTCAGCACATTATGAATATTATTTTTTAAATTTTATGATGACAATCCTATGAATTAATTATAATATTAATTATTTAGTAATTATTATTGCCTAAATTCAGTCATCTGTACATAATTAAATGTTTCCTTATGTTTTAAGGTGTGTATAGTTGCTACAATTATACCCTATGGGTAGTGCTCCACAATTAATGGAGGAATATACAAGAAACTGAACTGAACTGAACTGTCGAACAGCTGAAATTTACCTGCTCAGGTGACAGCTAAACTAGTTATTTTCTTACATTTCAGCGGTTTGCATCTAACTAATTTAGTCAAAAAGATTTAAATTATCAGAAATACGTTAACAAATATGATTTGATGAGAAAATTCAAAAGGTGAAAATGAAAAATCGTCATAACCACGTTGTTTGAACCAGAGACATATCTCTGTTTGAACTAGTACATGTGTGCGCATGTGCGCAGGTGTGAAATTTAATTATGCATCATAATTTCTTCAAAAAATGCTTAAATTGTCATTGATACCTTTATCTCACGTTTATTTCGAATATTTTCTTGAAAAAATAACGTAGAAAGAGCTACCTACACTCATTCATGCTTTGCAAACGTACACGGAATTGACGTATTCGTCTCTGATCCATGTTTTACCATTGTCAAGATAACTTCCGGTATTAGACTTAAAAATGAAAGTAAAGTTTTTGACAACGTTATTTTGCACAAATAAAGAGTCTAAGGCAGATATAAGTACGCTGATGTTGCAAACTTCGAATGATGCACTGCCAATTTAACAGTTTACATCAGAACTTCGAATTTGAATCAAAGAAAGTTTAATATCATTTTTTTTTAATGTCAATCATTGGGATGGCCAACTCTGCAACTGATTACCATAATAGCCTTTTGTTTATTTAAGGGAATAAAATCGGGATAATATATAAAATGTTCGGCTGGCTAAAAATAATTTTGGAAGCCCTGATTTCACCTAATGTATTACAAGACATGGTAGTGCCTACAAACAAAGAGACAACCAGACTTGATAATAACTATAACTATTCTAGTATGGTGTTTTTTTTTTTAGTTATTCAATATACAATACAAGTCAATATCACAGTTATTATCACAGTTATTTCAATATCATATTTACATACAATTATTATAACATGAACACTTATAATAAAAAAAAAAATTCACAGTCAATGCACATTTCTCTTTCACTGAAAGAATTATTAAATGACCTATCAAAAATGGCTAGTTGCAGACTATAACAAATTCTAATCTAAACACAGTTAGAATAATAATTATAAAATTTTTGGTTCAAGTTGTCCACATTTATCAAAAATATATTTCATTCCAATTTTTGTTTTTATGCGCTCGTCATTAGAAACATGCGATGAAAACTGCGCACTGTTAAAGGGCCGATTAATTACACATATCTGAAATGCATTGTTGAAAACTAATGAGAAAATGTGATACAATCATTTTCTGGTGAGGTAAATAAAGACTAAAATATTTTATTTTTTACATGTAAAGTCAAATGCTTGTTGTTATTACAATCAAAGAATCATGTACAACAATTACAAACTGACATTATGTTTCACATGATAATTGCAGTGACAAAATAAACTGAAGGTAGATGTACAAGGAAATAAGAATATGATATATTTTTAATATTTTATGGAAATATATTACAATGTATATACATTCAAAGTTTGATTGTATATCATTTGTTAGCATACCATTTGTTGAGGAATATAAGGTGCCAAGATCTATTATTTTATATAGATTATTGAGATGGGAATCATTTTCTTTTGGAATCTTGAACCCTACTCATGTTTCTTTAATCAAATATTTACAAATAATGTACAGTTTACATTTTGTGAAATATCTCTTTGAAAAAAAGGTGCGTCTTTTATCAAAAAAAAAACTCAATGAAGGGACATGGAGAGACTCGTACAAAACAATTAGGTAATGTCTTTTAGAAAAAATTGCTCAATGATGGCACAGGGATAGACTCATACAAAATAATAAAATAAGGTTTTTTAGAAAAAAAATTACTTGAGGAAGGGACATGGAGAGACTCTACAAACAATAAGCGAAGGTCGTATAGATAAAAATTACTCAACGAAAGGACATGGAGACTCATTAACAACAATTCAGTTAGGTCTATTAGACAAAGAATAATTAAGGAAAGGACACAGAGATTAGTCATACAAGGGAAATAGATTTAATGCAAGCAATAAATTGATAAAGACTTGAATTTTGGGTGTAATAAATTATTAACATTGCTCACTATAATTTCATCAAATAACAAAGAAGGTAAAAGTCCTTGTTTCCTGATATTTAAAGGAAGAAGTGCCAAACTTAACTTTTACTACAATTGGCCCGAGAACACAGTTATTTTCCCCTTTTTGTCTATTAAAACATAATGGCTATTAAAAAAAATTCTACCTGCTCTATTCTAATAAGATTTGTGCATAAAGTTTGACTTTTTTCCCAAAACATATCAAAAATTCAGAAAAGTCTACCAGCTCATTCTCTCCTGGTAACCCCAACATAAGGACACCGGTAAGGATGAAGCCAGAGAGCTTCCGAGAAGAGGAAATTACACCTTTATTTACCTGACCAAATCACTCAGTTCTACAGAAAATTTCAAAAAGATTTTTTTCAGACAGTATATTTGAAGTCTTATCTTTCACCTTAATACAAACAAATAATGAAAAATTCCAAAAAAAGACAAAGAAAAAAAATAAGAAAAAAAATACTGAAATTAAAGGGAACTACTTGTACATTTGTGGACAACGAAAATTGAAGGTAGATAACCGAGGACCTAATAGGACCCTTCCAGTAGTCCAAATGAAATAAAATTTTACATATATTAACTTTAATATATATCAAGACTACATAACAAATTTCAGACCAATCAGACAATGCATAGATCAGCAAATGCATTTCTTGCACCCCTACCTTCACACCCAAATTTTATCATTTTTCTGGTATGGAACTTTCGATTTCCTCAAAATACCTTCTTTATTCAAATGCTCGTAACTTTTTTATTAGTGCAAGTTTTATGAAGTGCATTAAAAAATTCTATAGTCATACTCTAATACACAAAACCTAACTTTATGGGGGTCTTGAATAAATTTTTGGATTATTTACCTGTATATTCAACACCCCCTTTACATCATCTGCCCAAGGCAAAATCAAGATGTCATACAAACTTTAAAATGCTGTAAAATCCTTTTTTTTTGCAATTTTGAGATGAAATAGAGTGTTTTGGAAAGGTTAAGATGCCAAAAAATTCATTTCAATTAAAAAAAGTAACAAATTCAACAGGATTTTAGAATTAAATTTTTTTTTTCAAAACAAAACAAAAATAGAACCAAATAAATGGAGAATGTGTCCCCATGGATACAGATGATGCCCCCGCTTGCATACAACATTATAAAGGGACATAACTCAAGAACAATAAAAAAACGCTACCCAAATTTGTACTTGATCTTAGTTTTGTGGTAATAAGTATTGTGTATAGGTTTCATATTTGGTTGGGGCAAACTTAAGTTACAGAACGGAAACTAAAAATTTTGCAATTTTCGATTTATAAAGGGGCATAACTCAATAATGGTTTAAAGTGACACAACCCAAATTCAACTTGATCTGTGTTTTATCAGTGGAAGGCAAAATTAAACAATGCATTGTATAAAGCATTGATTGTAGTTGATTCAACTATAATCATGGACAAAGGAAAATAACTCCAATTTTAAAAATTACTTGAACAATGACATCATTGATATTTTTAGAAAAAAAATGAAAAATTTGTTTAGCAATTTTTCCATTTGTAAAGGGTATAACTCTAGAACAGTAAAAGTGACGCCACCAAAATTCAAACTTGATCTGTGTATTGTGGTAATAAGCATTGTGTATAAGTTTAATAACATTTGGTTAGGCAAACTTAAGTTAGAGAACGGAAATGAAAAATTTAGCAATTTTTCCATTTATAACGGGGCATAACTCTAGAACGTTTAAAGTGATGCCACCAAAATTCAAACTTGATGTGTGTTTTGTGGTAATAAGCATTGTGTATAAGTTTGATAATATTTGGTTGAGGCAAACTTAAGTTACAGAACAGAAACCAATCACTTTTCAATGGCAAAACAACTTTCTAAAATTTAGAAAATTAACGTTTGTAAAATCTGAATAGGAAAAGAATTTTCATTTCACAAATAAAAGGCCAAAATAAGGAATTTTGTTTGAACTGGACCAAACCCTTTGAAGCCAGAGTTGGTCATTTCTTTAATCTGCAGCTAAAAATAGATCAAAAGAATCTACAGAATTGATTGACAGCATCACTTAGACAATTAAAAATCTGAATCAAAAGTTACATAATGACAAAAAATATAAAAATTAACACTTCTAAGGTCTGTCATCCAAGTTTCTATTGATGCTTTACACTGCACCACCAAAATATTTGTCTCAACATGTATCCAAAAGGTTACTGGCCATTCAACAAAGGCTTAGCTGGACGGCTGCAGAGAAGGAGAGTTGCACCTGTTGGTAGATTCCAGAATGGCAGAATTCCATGGAATGTTCCTATTCCTGTCCCTGTACTAGAGTTGTCCACTACACCAGACCAAGATATCAATAATGCTCCTGTTGTTGAAATGAATGTTGAACAGAAGGACATTAAAGATGAACCTACAATCACTTCTACTTCAGCTGTACACAATGATGGCATAAAGACTCGTTCCCAGCTACTGGTATCATCCTATGAGCTAAAAACAGAAGAAGATTGGAGTTCACTTTCTGGTATGAGGTTCGTCGACCATGAAGAGATGATGAAGATGCTGAACATTGTTATAAAGGCTTACACAAAAGAATTCAAATGCTGCAAAAATCCAGAAATACTGGCACACAGACAAGTTAAATGGGGAGTTTGCTGGAAATATACCCTTAGATGTTAGAACTGCACCTACATGAGCCCAGTTATAAAGTTATACAAAGAAGTTGTCACCAATAAACCTGGTACCAACCCTGGAGCACCCAATGTTGCAGTAGCTGCAGTCCTACATGACTGTCCCATGGGTAGTACAAAGTTCCAGGAGCTGTTTGCTAGAATGAACTGTTCTCCTCCATCCAGATCAAGCATGCAGAGAATGTTGGAAAGGAGCTAGTAAAACTTAACAGGACAGACATGTCAGAAAAACTGGAGATTGTTAAGTCAGTAAATCGTGAGAGGGGGCTACCAGAAAATGTGATTAATGTTACAGTCGACCGAAGGTACAACAGCCAGACCATTCAAGCAACAAGAAACTGGGACTGAATGCCACCCAAGCTTTCACACTTATCACTGAACAATGACAGAGAGGAAATATATTGTTGCATCATTTGCCCAAAATCAGATGTGCTGGAAAGGAGCCTGGATGTGGGGGAAAGGTTTTGATGTAAATTGTCCCAATGGCCACGAAGACTGCACTGCAAACTTATACAGAGCAGCTCCAGTGTCAGAGTACCAGATGGGTAAAGAAATTGTTTCACAGCTGGCACTTCAAGACATCCTTGTAAAGAATGCCATAACAGATGGAGACGGAGAGGCTGCCAAAGGGATAGATGACGCAACCAGAGCCTTACATCCCATGTGGAAGGTCGAAAGGCTAGCTGACTATGTCCACCTTGGCCAGTCACAGTTCCAAGCATTACTGAGAGCTCATTTCAGCGAAGGCATGTTCTATGGGCGTACAAAAGAGATGAAGAAAGAAATGAAGAAAGCTTTTTATAGTCAGGATGTCAAATGTAGGAGCTTCGATGATAGTTGGACAGCTAATGGAACAGTACAAAAGAAATACAGATGACGTATGTAAAGACTTACCCAAGGCTCTGCAGGTGAAAATCAGGTGTTATGATGGTGACTGCTCCATGTGTAAACAGCACTCAGTGGTATGTGCAGGTGATGAGAGCTATAACTGGTGGACCCGCTCCAAGTATCTTGGTTGCTATAACATTACTATCCTGCAAATGGACGAAAAAGACAAGTTGTTACTGCAAGAGATCTTGAAAATGAAGCTTAGTGAAGATGCGATTAGTAGTATAAAGCTTTACAACACAACAAACAAGAACGAAGCTGTGCACAGATCCTTGAGTGTGAATTTACCCAAGAATGTAATCTTCTCAAGAGGCACGGAGGCCAGATTAGCATCCGGAATTCACAGAAACAACAACATGCAAGGAACCTCAGCAAAGCAAAAGTGTGAACATCTGGGGGTTAATTTATCTGATTCCAGTTTAAAGTTCCTTGACAGTATGGACAAACAATTTACCTACAAGCAAGAGTATGAAAAAAAACCTGAAGTTAAAGGTAGACGTCTCACACAGAGTGGTGAAAAAATAGTAGAACATAGAGAGGCCAAGGTAAAAAGTAAAGAGCGAGATGTCTACAGAAAAGGGCAGTTGGACCCAGTGCCTGCCTTACTTAGCCATAGTACTTACTGCAAGAGAAAACTACCACCAGCATCATAGATGAGACAGCAACCCAGTAACTCAACCAAAGGGTATTTTAAGGACCACCCAAATCTTTCAAAAAGATATCTGAAATTGTTGTTTACATCAATAAAATAAAATAAATATTTAATTTATAAATCCTAAAACATGAATGATACCAAGATTATTGTTTGCCATCTTTAAGTCCAACTTGCAAGGTGGCAATGGAGCTGGGTGACCCAAGCAATGGCCACATGAATTCAAGTTTTTCTACTGTTGTTGAAGCCGTGTGGCTCCAACACCAGATGATCAACATTAATGCATTTTGTGTTGTGGCACAGATGCGAGACATTAAAATTGGGTAAATGAAAATTTAGATGCCTTATCATGTAATCAAGTCTGTGCACATGCATTTGTCTACACCCGCGGGCATTTGGATGCTTGAAATTTATCACCCCATATTTGCCATTAGGCGTACAAGCCCCTGTCCAAATCAGACTGTGCCCATTTTGGCCAGGGGCAGATTTTTCTTGTAATTTTGCTAAATATTTTTGAATAAATCCCTCCATTTAAACTTTAAAGAACTATTTCTTATCAGAATGAGTAGGAATTTGCTCAAAATAGAAAAAATATGAGCCCCTGTTTTGAGATTTGCCCGAAAAGTTTCAACATATAAATAACAATCCAAAAATATGGTAAAATAGGTTTTTTTTTGGTATTTAAAAATATTTTCCAATTATTTACTATAAATTAACATTGAAATATCTTTACATTTCAATTTTGAGGCAAATTGTGCAAATCAGGGGACCAAAATGTCCATTTTGGGGTACAGTGGGTTCAGCCTCTTAGGCCCGAGAACACAGTTATTTTCCCCTTTTTGTCTATTAAACCATAATGGCAATTAAAAAAAAATCCACCTGCTCTATTCTAATAAGATTTGTGCATAAAGTTTGACTTTTATCCCAAAACATATCATTTGAGTCTACCAGCTCATTCTCTCCTGGTAACCCCAACATAAGGACACCGGTAAGGATGAAGCCAGAGAGCTCCCGAGAAGAGGAAATTACACCTTTATTTACCTGACCAAATCACTCAGTTCTACAGAAAATTTCAAAAAGATTTATTTCAGACAGTATATTTGAAGTCTTATCTTTCACCTTAATACAAACAAATAATGAAAAATTCCAAAAAAAGACAAAGAAAAAAAATAAGAAAAAAAATACTGAAATTAAAGGGAACTACTTGTACATTTGTGGACAACGAAAATTGAAGGTAGATAACCGAGGACCTAATAGGACCCTTCCAGTAGTCCAAATGAAATAAAATTTTACATACATTAACTTTAATATATATCAAGACTACATAACAAATTTCAGACCAATCAGACAATGCATAGATCAGCAAATGCATTTCTTGCACCCCTACCTTCACACCCAAATTTTATCATTTTTCTGGTATGGAACTTTCGATTTCCTCAAAATACCTTCTTTATTCAAATGCTCATAACTTTTTTATTAGTGCAAGTTTTATGAAGTGCATTAAAAAATTCTATAGTCATACTCTAATACACAAAACCTAACTTTATGGGGGTCTTGAATAAATTTTTGGATTATTTACCTGTATATTCAACACCCCCTTTACATCATCTGCCCAAGGCAAAATCAAGATGTCATACAAACTTTAAAATGCTGTAAAATCCTTTTTTTTTGCAATTTTGAGATGAAATAGAGTGTTTTGGAAAGGTTAAGATGCCAAACAATTCATTTCAATTAAAAAAAGTAACAAATTCAACAGGATTTTAGAATTAAATTTTTTTTTTCAAAACAAAACAAAAATAGAACCAAATAAATGGAGAATGTGTCCCCATGGATACAGATGATGCCCCCGCTTGCATACAACATTATAAAGGGACATAACTCAAGAACAATAAAAAAACGCTACCCAAATTTGTACTTGATCTTAGTTTTGTGGTAATAAGTATTGTGTATAGGTTTCATATTTGGTTGGGGCAAACTTAAGTTACAGAACGGAAACTAAAAATTTTGCAATTTTCGATTTATAAAGGGGCATAACTCAATAATGGTTTAAAGTGACACAACCCAAATTCAACTTGATCTGTGTTTTATCAGTGGAAGGCAAAATTAAACAATGCATTGTATAAAGCATTGATTGTAGTTGATTCAACTATAATCATGGACAAAGGAAAATAACTCCAATTTTAAAAATTACTTGAACAATGACATCATTGATATTTTTAGAAAAAAAATGAAAAATTTGTTTAGCAATTTTTCCATTTGTAAAGGGTATAACTCTAGAACAGTAAAAGTGACGCCACCAAAATTCAAACTTGATCTGTGTATTGTGGTAATAAGCATTGTGTATAAGTTTAATAACATTTGGTTAGGCAAACTTAAGTTAGAGAACGGAAATGAAAAATTTAGCAATTTTTCCATTTATAACGGGGCATAACTCTAGAACGTTTAAAGTGATGCCACCAAAATTCAAACTTGATGTGTGTTTTGTGGTAATAAGCATTGTGTATAAGTTTGATAATATTTGGTTGAGGCAAACTTAAGTTACAGAACAGAAACCAATCACTTTTCAATGGCAAAACAACTTTCTAAAATTTAGAAAATTAACGTTTGTAAAATCTGAATAGGAAAAGAATTTTCATTTCACAAATAAAAGGCCAAAATAAGGAATTTTGTTTGAACTGGACCAAACCCTTTGAAGCCAGAGTTGGTCATTTCTTTAATCTGCAGCTAAAAATAGATCAAAAGAATCTACAGAATTGATTGACAGCATTACTTAGACAATTAAAAATCTGAATCAAAAGTTACATAATGACAAAAAATATAAAAATTAACACTTCTAAGGTCTGTCATCCAAGTTTCTATTGATGCTTTACACTGCACCACCAAAATATTTGTCTCAACATGTATCCAAAAGGTTACTGGCCATTCAACAAAGGCTTAGCTGGACGGCTGCAGAGAAGGAGAGTTGCACCTGTTGGTAGATTCCAGAATGGCAGAATTCCATGGAATGTTCCTATTCCTGTCCCTGTACTAGAGTTGTCCACTACACCAGACCAAGATATCAATAATGCTCCTGTTGTTGAAATGAATGTTGAACAGAAGGACATTAAAGATGAACCTACAATCACTTCTACTTCAGCTGTACACAATGATGGCATAAAGACTCGTTCCCAGCTACTGGTATCATCCTATGAGCTAAAAACAGAAGAAGATTGGAGTTCACTTTCTGGTATGAGGTTCGTCGACCATGAAGAGATGATGAAGATGCTGAACATTGTTATAAAGGCTTACACAAAAGAATTCAAATGCTGCAAAAATCCAGAAATACTGGCACACAGACAAGTTAAATGGGGAGTTTGCTGGAAATATACCCTTAGATGTTAGAACTGCACCTACATGAGCCCAGTTATAAAGTTATACAAAGAAGTTGTCACCAATAAACCTGGTACCAACCCTGGAGCACCCAATGTTGCAGTAGCTGCAGTCCTACATGACTGTCCCATGGGTAGTACAAAGTTCCAGGAGCTGTTTGCTAGAATGAACTGTTCTCCTCCATCCAGAACAAGCATGCAGAGAATGTTGGAAAGGAGCTAGTAAAACTTAACAGGACAGACATGTCAGAAAAACTGGAGATTGTTAAGTCAGTAAATCGTGAGAGGGGGCTACCAGAAAATGTGATTAATGTTACAGTCGACCGAAGGTACAACAGCCAGACCATTCAAGCAACAAGAAACTGGGACTGAATGCCACCCAAGCTTTCACACTTATCACTGAACAATGACAGAGAGGAAATATATTGTTGCATCATTTGCCCAAAATCAGATGTGCTGGAAAGGAGCCTGGATGTGGGGGAAAGGTTTTGATGTAAATTGTCCCAATGGCCACGAAGACTGCACTGCAAACTTATACAGAGCAGCTCCAGTGTCAGAGTACCAGATGGGTAAAGAAATTGTTTCACAGCTGGCACTTCAAGACATCCTTGTAAAGAATGCCATAACAGATGGAGACGGAGAGGCTGCCAAAGGGATAGATGACGCAACCAGAGCCCTACATCCCATGTGGAAGGTTGAAAGGCTAGCTGACTATGTCCACCTTGGCCAGTCACAGTTCCAAGCATTACTGAGAGCTCATTTCAGCGAAGGCATGTTCTATGGGCGTACAAAAGAGATGAAGAAAGAAATGAAGAAAGCTTTTTATAGTCAGGATGTCAAATGTAGGAGCTTCGATGATAGTTGGACAGCTAATGGAACAGTACAAAAGAAATACAGATGACGTATGTAAAGACTTACCCAAGGCTCTGCAGGTGAAAATCAGGTGTTATGATGGTGACTGCTCCATGTGTAAACAGCACTCAGTGGTATGTGCAGGTGATGAGAGCTATAACTGGTGGACCCGCTCCAAGTATCTTGGTTGCTATAACATTACTATCCTGCAAATGGACGAAAAAGACAAGTTGTTACTGCAAGAGATCTTGAAAATGAAGCTTAGTGAAGATGCGATTAGTAGTATAAAGCTTTACAACACAACAAACAAGAACGAAGCTGTGCACAGATCCTTGAGTGTGAATTTACCCAAGAATGTAATCTTCTCAAGAGGCATGGAGGCCAGATTAGCATCCGGAATTCACAGAAACAACAACATGCAAGGAACCTCAGCAAAGCAAAAGTGTGAACATCTGGGGGTTAATTTATCTGATTCCAGTTTAAAGTTCCTCGACAGTATGGACAAACAATTTACCTACAAGCAAGAGTATGAAAAAAAACCTGAAGTTAAAGGTAGACGTCTCACACAGAGTGGTGAAAAAATAGTAGAACATAGAGAGGCCAAGGTAAAAAGTAAAGAGCGAGATGTCTACAGAAAAGGGCAGTTGGACCCAGTGCCTGCCTTACTTAGCCATAGTACTTACTGCAAGAGAAAACTACCACCAGCATCATAGATGAGACAGCAACCCAGTAACTCAACCAAAGGGTATTTTAAGGACCACCCAAATCTTTCAAAAAGATATCTGAAATTGTTGTTTACATCAATAAAATAAAATAAATATTTAATTTATAAATCCTAAAACATGAATGATACCAAGATTATTGTTTGCCATCTTTAAGTCCAACTTGCAAGGTGGCAATGGAGCTGGGTGACCCAAGCAATGGCCACATGAATTCAAGTTTTTCTACTGTTGTTGAAGCCGTGTGGCTCCAACACCAGATGATCAACATTAATGCATTTTGTGTTGTGGCACAGATGCGAGACATTAAAATTGGGTAAATGAAAATTTAGATGCCTTATCATGTAATCAAGTCTGTGCACATGCATTTGTCTCCACCCGCGGGCATTTGGATGCTTGAAATTTATCACCCCACATTTGCCATTAGGCGTACAAGCCCCTGTCCAAATCAGACTGTGCCCATTTTGGCCAGGGGCAGATTTTTCTTGTAATTTTGCTAAATATTTTTGAATAAATCCCTCCATTTAAACTTTAAAGAACTATTTCTTATCAGAATGAGTAGGAATTTGCTCAAAATAGAAAAAATATGAGCCCCTGTTTTGAGATTTGCCCGAAAAGTTTCAACATATAAATAACAATCCAAAAATATGGTAAAATAGGTTTTTTTTTGGTATTTAAAAATATTTTCCAATTATTTACTATAAATTAACATTGAAATATCTTTACATTTCAATTTTGAGGCAAATTGTGCAAATCAGGGGACCAAAATGTCCATTTTGGGGTACAGTGGGTTCAGCCTCTTAGGCCCGAGAACACAGTTATTTTCCCCTTTTTGTCTATTAAACCATAATGGCAATTAAAAAAAAATCCACCTGCTCTATTCTAATAAGATTTGTGCATAAAGTTTGACTTTTATCCCAAAACATATCATTTGAGTCTACCAGCTCATTCTCTCCTGGTAACCCCAACATAAGGACACCGGTAAGGATGAAGCCAGAGAGCTCCCGAGAAGAGGAAATTACACCTTTATTTACCTGACCAAATCACTCAGTTCTACAGAAAATTTCAAAAAGATTTTTTTCAGACAGCATATTTGAAGTCTTATCTTTCACCTAAATACAAACAAATAATGAAAAATTCCCAAAAAAGACAAAGAAAAAAAATAAGAAAAATAAATGTGGATAGTGTCCACATGTGGACACAGATGATGCCCCCGCTTGCATATCATATAGTTATAAAGGGACATAACTGAAGAACGGTAAAAGTGATGCTACCCAAATTTGAACTTGATCTGAGTTTTGTGGTAATAAGCATTGTGTGTAAGTCTCATAACATTTGGTTGAGGCTAACTTAAGTAGAGAACAGAAACTAAAAATTCAGCAATTTTTCTATTTGTAAACAGGCATAACTCTAGAATGGTTGTGTATAAGTTTTATAACGATTAGTTGAGACAAACTTAAGTTAGAGAACAGAAACGAAAAATTCAGCAATTTTTATGTTTATAAACAAATGGTAAAAATGTTGCCACAAAATTTCGTACTAAATCTGTATTATGTAGTAATAAGCATTGTGTATAAGTTTCATAACATTTGGCTGAGGCATACTAAAGTTAGAAAACAGAAACAAAAAATGTGTACTTGATCTTTGTTTTGTGGTAATGAATATTGTGTATAGGTATCATAATGTTTGTTTGGGGCAAAATTAAGTTACAGAATGGAAACTAAAAATTTTGCAATCTTTCGATTTATAAAGGGGCATTACTCAATAATGATTAAAGTGACACTACCCATATTCAAATTGATCTGTGTTTTATCAGTGGAAGTCAAAATTAAACATTGCATTGTATAAAGCATTGATTGTAGTTGATTCAACTATAATCATGGACAAAGGAAGATAACTCCAATTTTGAAAATTACTTGATATTTAGAAGAAAATAAAAATTTTGCAATTTTTCCATTTATAAAGGGGCATAACTCTAGAATGGTTAAAGTGACGCCACCAAAATTCAAACTTGATCTGTGTTTTGTGTTAATAAGCATTTTGTATAAGTTTCATAACATTTGGTTGAGGCAAACTTAAGTTAGAGAACGGAAACTAAAAATTTTGCAATGTTTCCATTATAAAGTGGCATTACTCTAGAACGGTTTGAGTGACGCCACCAAAATTCAAACTTGATCTGTGTTATGTGGTAATAAGCATTGTGTATAAGTTTGATAACATTTGGTTGAGGCAAACTTAAGTTAGAGAATGGAAACCAATTTTGGGACGTACGTACGGACGGACAAGGGTAAAACTTAATGCCCCCACCGCTACGGCGGGGGCATAAAAACACTGAAATTAAAGGGAACTACATTTGTGGATAACGAAAATTGAAGGTAGATAACTGTGTCCTCGGACCAATTAATTCCCATTGATATAAAACATTTGGAAATAACTTATCTCCCCTTCTGAAATGCCAGATTTCTTAATTCATTTGTAAAAACATTATTCTTGCACTATTTTAAAATATAGAAATAAATGTAGCTTAAATACTTTAATTATTAAATATAGCTTAAATACTTTAACTATAAACTGCTGTTACCTTCATAACATTTGCAGTATTAATGGAGACAAGAAGCAATTGCCATAAACATTTACAGGTATTAAAAAAAGTAAAGGTTAAAATTTATATTTTACTGACATTCAGTAAGTAAGGTATTCATCCTCTGGAATAACTGTGTCATTAATACTGAAATAAAGTTATATAAAACTGTTAATATGACACTTAACCACATATGTATATACTCATATTTTCATATATTGTCTACAAATAGTACACTGTATAAAGGTGATACTATTTATTACATATTTTTTTTATTCCAATCAATGACCAATATTCCATTTTTTGCTACAATTATGCTTCTGGCCAGAGACTTTTCTGCTAGCAGGTTGCTTTGTGGAATAAATTATGGACAATCAACTAAAACATTACATTGGTGTTTGAAGGCCTTTGTTATGTCACTGGATATATATGGCTTCTTAATGTTTATTTTTTTTCTTATTGGGTAGCTGTCTCATTGATATGTAGCCCACATTTCCTGCCATACATGTACATAATATAACTAGAGGCTCAAAAGAGCCTGTGTCGCTCACCTTGGTCTATGTGCATATTAAACAAAGGACACAGATGGATTCATGACAAAATTGTATTTTGGTGATGGTGATGTGTTTGTAGATCTTACTTTACTGAACATTCTTGCTGCTTACAATTATCTCTATCTATAATGAACTTGGCCCAGTAGTTACAGTGGAAAATATTTTGTAAAAATTTACAAAAATTTACAAAATTTATGAAAATTGTAAAAAATTGACTATAAAGGGCAATTACTCCTTAAGGGGTCAATTGACAATTTTGGTCATGTTGACTTATTTGTAGATCTTACTTTGCTGTACAGTATTGCTGTTTACAGTTTATCTCTATCTATAATAATATTCAAGATAATAACCAAAAGCTGCAAAATTTTCTTAAAATTACCAATTCAGGGGCAGCAACCCAACAACAGGTTGTCAGATTCATCTGAAAATTTCAGGGCAGATAGATTTTGACCTAATGAACAATTTTACCTCAAAGTCAGATTTGCTCTAAATGCTTTGGTTTCAGAGATATGAGCCAAAAACTGCATTTTACCCTATGTACTATTTTTTAGCCATGTCCGCCATCTTGGTTCGCGGGCGGGGTCATCGGACACATTTTTTAAACTAGATACCCTAATGATGATTGTGGACAAGTTTTGTTAAATTTGTCCTAGTAGTTTCAGAGGAGAATATTTGTGTAAAAGATTACAAAAATTTACGAAAAATGGTTAAAAATTGACTATAAAGGGCAATAACTCCTTAAGGGGTCAACTGACCATTTTGGTCATGTTGACTTATTTGTAGATCTTACTTTGCTGAACACTATTGCTGTTTACAGTTTATCTCTATCTATAATAATATTGAAGATAATAACCAAAAACGACAAAATTCCCTTAAAATTACCAATTCAGGGGCAGCAACCCAACAACAGGTTGTCAGATTCATCTGAAAATTTCAGGGCAGATAGATCTTGACCTGATAAACAAATTTACCTCAAAGTCAGATTTGCTCTAAATGCTTTGGTTTCAGAGATATAAGCCAAAATCTACATTTTACCCCTATGTTCTATTTTTAGCCATGGCGGCCATCTTGGTTGGTTGGCCGGGTCACTGGACACATTTTTAAAACTAGATACCCCAATGATGATTGTGGCCAAGTTTGGTCAAATTTGGCCCAGTAGTTTCAGAGGAGAAGATTTTTGTAAAAGTTTACGGACGCTGACGCAGGACGCAGGACGACGGACGACGGACGACAGACGCCAAGTGATGAGAAAAGCTCACTTGGCCCTTTGGGCCAGGTGAGCTAAAAATGTGTTATCACTTATTCAAAACTTCCTACAAATTACTTACTCTGTTTTGTCTATACTACCAGCATCCCTTGCTGAACCAACTGTATGTGATAGACCAGGTTCTAGACTTCAAATATAAACTATATTGTATTAATGTTTGAATAAGTATAATTTTCTATGTACAGCCACCTAAACCATAACATATGTAAAATAATATATAAATAATATTAGAGAACGGAAACTAAAAATTTTGCCTTTTTTCCCCATTTATAAAGGGGCATAACGCTAGAATAGTTAAAGTGACCCCACCAAAATTCAAACTTGATCTGTGTTTTGTGGTAATAAGCATGGGGTATAAGTTTCATAACATTTGGAAGAGGCAAACTTAAGTTAGGGAACGGAAACTAAAAATTTTGTAATTTTTTTATTTATAAAGGGGAATAACCGTAGAACTGTTAGAGTGACCCTACTAAAATTCAAACTTGATTTGTATTATGTGGTAATAAGCATTGTGTATAAGTTTCATAACATTTGGTTGAGGCAAAATTTACCCCCCCCTTTTTTTTTTTGCTTTTGTGCAATACACTTTGCTGTTGCGAATTGACCCCCCCCCCCAAAAAAAACAACAACAAAAATATTTACCCCCCCCCCCCTCCTTTTTTGGCAAAAAAAAAATATTTGAAGAAACTTTCTTTTTAATTTCTGAAATCTGAAATGAGAAAAAATTGTCCCCCCTCACAATTTCTTTTTTAACCCCCCCCCCACAATCTTTTTTTACCCCCCCCCCCCCCCCCTTTTCCAAAAAAAAAATTCTTTCCCTCAAGATATGGTCATAATCTCAATTCAAATTTCCAATGGAGTTTGCAACCATAATTACCCATTTAAATACATCATAATAGTCTTAAATAGAAAATGACATACATAATCATGGCTAAAATTAATATTCCTTAATCAGCATTTTTAAATAGTAACTTTTAAAAATAAATTGACAGCTAACCACCTCAAAGACAATACAACATTTCTTTATACATAATTTAAAAGCAGTATAAGGGAGGTAATCCAAACATAACATTGTACTTTTTTTTAATTGACCATTAACCAGGAAACCCTTGTTTTTCCCTCTTTTTTGCCCCTAATTCCTAAACGGTTTGAGCCATAACCCCCCAAAGCCAATCCTAACCATCCCTTTGTGGTATGGAAACTTGTGGTTTACTTTCAGAGAGATCCATACACCGTTCCACAAGTTATTGTCTGGAAACTAGAATAAACTGCTTCGCTGAGCGCAGCTGGATACGCCCGCAGAGGTCCAACCCTGAACAGTTGGGGCAAAAATAGACACATTATTCAAGCTTGATACACGTCTGAATTTGGATTGTAATTAAATATTTGACATATTTTAGGTTTCTGAATAAGTGTAGTCAAAGAACTTGAAATTGGTTATATGAATTGAATTTATATTCAATTAAAGATTTCTTGCTGTTGTGCAATACTTAGTAAATCTGTTGTCAGACTATAAACAAATAAAGTTCAATTTCTTCTCAATGTCATATTTGAAATTTATGAAAATCAATAGGGAGATTACATCAATAGCTATAAATAATTCACCAAAGTTTCATGAGAACTGCTAAAAGCATTTTTGAGTTATTGTCCAAAATGAAAAATCCCCCCTTTTTTAATGAATAAAACCCCATAACTCAGAAATGTAAAATCTAAAATTTATAAATTTCTAAAGGGAGCTTACATTAACAGATATAAACAATTCACCAAAGTTTCATGAGAACTACTGAAAGCATTTTTTAGTTATTGTCTGAAAAGTGGAAAATCCCCCTTTTTATATGAATAAAACCCTGTGACTCAGAAACGTAAAATCTAAAATTTAAAAAAATCGAAAGGGAGTTCATGTCAATAGATATAAACAATTCACCAAAATTCCTTGCAAATTGGTGAAAGCATTCTTGAGTTATTGTCGGAAAACTGGAAAATCCCCCTTTTTTTAATGAATAAAACCCCAAAACTCGGAAACGATAAGTCTGAAATTTTTAAAAAACGAAAGGAAGCTCACGTCAATAGATATAAACAATTCACCAAAGTTTCATACATATTGGTTAAAGCATTTTTGAGTTAATGTCCGACATGTTGACGACGGACGGACGGACGGACAGACGGATGGACAGACAACGGTATACCATAATACGTCCCGTAAATGGGCGTATAAAAATGCTTATTTGGGCCCCTTTTTGGCCCCTAATTTCTGAACTGTTAGGAATATAACCCCCAAAATCAATCCCAACCTTGTGGTTATAAACCTTGTGTTTAAATTTCATATTTAAATTTACTAAAGTTATTGTCCGGAAACCAAATGTCTTCGGACAATGCTGACGAAGACGACGTGATACCAATATACAACCGCAAAATTTTTTGCGGTTGTATAAAAATATGTAAGCGTTTGGTAAACAGGAAGTTGTTGAGTGATGAATCTGAAAACGCATCACACGGTATAGCTGACTAATATAAACCCTGAAACAAAATTTCAGAAATCCTTGTAATGTAGTTCCTGAGAAAAATGTGACGAACATTTTAAACTTGGATGTCATGTGTAAAATGATGTAAGTGTTCGGTAAACAGGAAGTTGTTGAGTGATGAATCTGAAAACGCATCACATGGTATAGCTGACTTGTATAAACCCTGAAACCAAATTTCAGAAATCCTTATGATGTAGTTCCTGAGAAAGATGCAACGAAAAATATTCATGGGACTGACTGACAGATGGACTGACGGATGGACAGACGGACGGATGGAAGGACAGAAGGACAGACAGACAGAGGTAAAACAGTATACCCCCACTTTTTTAAAGCAGGGGTATAATAATCCCTCTACACACAGCTGTGTTTACATTATTTGGCAGGACATAAAGTCTATAACAGAAGTGCGACACTCAGTTTGGGTTTGATAAACATAACAGAGTTTAAGTAAATATCACTGCAAATGTTGTTATCCAGGCCAAATTTTATTCTTTAATTATACAAGCATTAGATACTGATAAAATACTTCCATAATTCTTATCAACTGCTTAAATTTGATATATTACTTTTTCACATTTATTCATTAATAGTAATTTATTATAAATTTTGATTTACAAAGGAACTATATGTAAGTGTATATCTAAAATAAAATGGCTGTTTGAACAATACTTTCTTAATTTAAGGGCAAAAAGCATGTCAAAAGTTGGCAGTGAATGATAAAAATGGTGTATAAAGATTCTGCAAGTCATAATAAAATGCTCAGCTGGGCGCAGCTTGATACGACCGCAGAGGTCGAACCCTGAACAGTTGGGGGAAGTATGGACACAACATACAAGCTTGATACAGCATTGAATTTGGATTGTGATTAAATATTTGACACAGCATAGGTTTCTGACACAGAATGAATGTGGTCTAAGAACTTAAAATTTTTTAATTTACCTATTATGGTCCAATATCCAAAATCTAAATACATGGTTAGATTCAGCATATTAAAGAATCCAAAGAATTCATTTTTTGATGAAATCAAACAAAGTTTAATTTTGGACCCTTTTGACCTCAATATGGACCTATTTGATATTTGCTTTTATACATAAATCAGAAATAACCAACTTAAAATGGAAAATTTTAAAGAAAAAAAAAACGAAAAAAAGGAAAAAATATCCTCCCTCCAATTTTTTTGAACCCCCTTATGATTCATCACCCCAAACTCAATCCCAGCCTTCCCTTTGTGGTATGGTACCAGTTGCAGTACAATTTCAGAGAGATCTATACACTTGAACACAAGTTATTGTCTGGAAACTAGAAAAATGCTTATTTTTGGCCCTTTTTTGGCCCCTTATTCCTACAATTATGAGGCAATTACCCCCAAAATCAATCCCAGCATTTCCTTTGTGATATGGAACCTTGTGGTACAATGTCAGAGAGATCCATACACTAACACACAAGTTATTGTCTGGAAGTTACAAAAATGCTTATTTTTGGCTCCTTTTTGGCCCATAATTCCTTAACTGTTGGTACCATAACCCCCAACCCAATCAATCCCAACCTTCCTTTTGTGGTATTGAACCTTATGGTAAAATTTCGTAGAGATCAATTCACTCAAACTAATGTTTTTGTGCAAAAACCAATGTGTCTTCGGACGACGACGACGACGACGCCAACGCCAACGTCATACCAATATACGGCCGCAAAAATTTTTGCAGTCGTATAAAAACACATAATTAGTTTCATGATATGTCTTCAACTTAGAATTCTGCACCATCTCAAAATCCGGAGTGATCACATAGATCCAGCATGGCTGAATCAAAAATGTTAATCTTTGCTGCATTCAAAAAGGTCAAGGGAAAAACTTGTGTCACAACTTTGAAGAAAATTATTTAAAATGGATACTATAGTATATGTGATACCAATGTATCCTATTGAAAGTGCAGGTAGGATTTTTTTAATTTTCATTTATTGTCTAAAAGAAATGCACTACGAAATAACTGTGTACTTGGACCTAAGATAAAGAATTCTGGTAAACTAAATTAAACACTAGGAAGTTGTACATACATTATGACACACCCTCTGGTGTTGGTTAATATACATGTCAAGTATAAACTTTGAAATCATAAAAGTTCTCAAGATATAGAGCGAACATGATCTTTACCATAGGACATGGGGTTGTCAACTAAAACCAAAGTTTTTGACCTTGACCTTTGACCTAGGAAGTTGTACATACATTATGACACACCCTCTGGTGTTGGTTAATATACATGTCAAGTATAAACTTTGAAATCATAACGGTTCTCAAGATATAGAGCGGACACGATCTTTACCATAGGACATGGGGTTCTCAACTAAAACCAAAGTTTTTTACCTTGACCTTTGACCTAGGAAGTTGTACATACATTATGACACACCCTCTGGTGTTGGTTAATATACATGTCAAGTATAAACTTTGAAATCATAACGGTTCTCTAGATATAGAGCGGACACAATTTGTTAAGGACATATGGACGGACAGACGGACAGACTGATCACTATAGGGTGTCCGCCATTCGGGGGGGCCGTAATAAATTTGGAAGGTGTATAAAAAAAATTGGCAAGTAACACACTGTCCCCA